ACCAGAATTTGGCGCAATCACCGCACTAGTATTATTTTCAATAGTACTAGCCATTTTCTATAAAATTACAATTATAGAAAATAATCAATAGAAATTTAGAAGAAAAAAAATATCTATCTTAAGATTGTCATCGGAAATTTTGACTATTACAATCAAAAGAAGAAATAAAAAGAACAGAAAAGAAATGCAGTAGATGAAGCGAGGTATGCCAAAGCAAATCTCATTAAGACAAATTTTGCCCCTCCAATAAAGTGCAAACGAGATTATAGACGTCTGTCTCGTAAGATACAACGCTCCTTCCAAAGTCGATATTGCACACTACCAACCTTATCGGTCAAACCAAAGAATGATCGTACTCGAANGGAATAACCACGAATATATTGAAGGTTTTTGTAGAATATGGAGAGAGAAGAAATTTAGAAATCAAGAGTATATTAATTGATTTGGGGTATTCAAAAATGAATCTGGATGTCTCTATTTATAAAGATTGAAATGTCTCATTGAATGTGTGTGTGACATATTATGAACTGGTGCACCACTTGGTCTGATTTGTCTTAGTTATTGGATCGCACTATTTCATGATCTGATGGCCCATATTAAATCATGAAGTGTAGTGTCCTTTCAGCATACCTAGTCACCAGCCATGCAGATGTCATGCGTACACCAACTGCCATGCAGGACGAAGTGATGCCACATGTTACGTGTGTGCCACCTAGGATGCCAACTCATCGAGCCACCCATTGCTATGTCATCGAACCATAAGTCCATTTTCGAAACTATAAAGCTCCCCAGCTCCTCGCGACGATGCGTACGTGCGAAGTGCGCTTCTAAAGCATCCAATACGAACTTTGCGATGTGCATGGACCGGGACCGGGACCGGGGCCGGCCGCGATGAGAGTGGTGCGAAGTACCACTCTAGTGGTGGCTAGTTTGCTAGCCAAAGTTAACTAAGTTGTAAGCCACTTATTAAATTATAACTGGTACACACATCCCACTATATAAACAAGTATTTTT